CTATTTATTATTGTTTATTTGTCGCACATTTCAAATAAAATAATATTTTTGAAACAGTTGCGATTTCCAAATTCAAACTTTCACACATTCTACCTGCTATGTTTTCGAAAACTGGTGTAAGAAACTGACAGTGCCTGAAATGAGATGTAAAGAAAATACTTTAATGCGTGTGCAATAAATATTTTTATTAAGCCAAATGATCTTGGTGTGTTTGAGGTCGTGAGCGGCCACCAATTTTTCATGTCGCACAATTTTGCTGAAAAGAGTACACATTTAAATTTTGGTTTAAAAGTAATCCATATGCATCCTGTCTAAATGGAGCACAAAATATGCTACTAGCTAGCGTTGCCTTAGATTTTATCTTTCACTAAACGTGGTGTTCAGTGAGGAAATAGTGGAGACTGGTTCGGGAATTGAGATAATTCGTTCAAACTAGAAGGAAACACTTTTCGTCGCTCCAATCAGCCACCAACTAGCAGCAAATGTGCCAATTGATTTTACGGAAGACATACAGTTAGATTTATGAATTTATCAAGATATCACGCACAAACCAGATTTGTGCTATTCTTTCAATTGCTGTTAGCAAATTGTGGTTTTCGAAATGATTTTTGGAGATCACAAATAGAATAAAGAAATTCGCTGCCGCATCAATCAGTAACTTAGGCAATCCTGGAATACACGATGATTCCGCACGTTCATAGAAAGTCAAATTCAAATCTAAAATTGGTGACCAGCCTGTGTTTTTATAAATATTCCCTCTCTAGCAGGTTAGATAACAGCACAGAGGTTCAGAATTTTGACTCGGCGAAAACGTTTCATGTGCCTCCTTTCAACTGCTAACTAACAGCATATCGTCTTGTTTGCACACATGGAATTTGAGAGCAATGCATCAAACAAACCATAAGCTTTCATCATATTGGATGTCGATAAAATTTACCAAACCTGGAACCACGAGTGTCTATATAGGACTTACAGAATAGATGTCAACTACTACATTGCCCGACTCACTATCTCACGTTTGCTTACTTTTCAGAATCTCACAAACAGGTAAATCGTAGAAACTGTGTCCTTAAATTTTGAATCTATTTACTCTCAAAACTGACTTATTCTGAAACTAAAAAAACATTGCATAATGCTTGGTGACTTCAGTGGCACACTGATAGATGACAGGTCCTAATTATTGGCATGAATGATGAGGGACGCGTAGTTTATCCAAACTATCACGACGTATTTTGCGTGATGAGACTTAGCATGATTGTGAAAAACAAGCTGAGGACTCACACAAGCTGGAACGGCAAACCATGTCATGCACTCGCCTTGTATCGGTGACAAGTAACCTCGATGCATATGTGAACGCAAACATTACTTTCCAATTTGTAGATTCACACATAAAACTCTAGGGGATAAGCCAACATTTTTCATGCCGTGCACTCAATTTTAGTCCACTGGAAGTCCAGAATGTGTCGGTATGCATCGCCTTTCAAGCACCTCTGTTTGCATGGGCAACATCTGCACGGCGGCATGCAAGGCGCTGTCGGTAAAGTGAACCGACTTCAATCACAGAATGTGTCAAAACATATAAGCAAAATGCAGTTTTAAGGCTCAAAATATGCAGATACCTGTCATTCAAATGAAATCGCACTTAATTTGTAATCTAAATATGCACACTTAAACGTTACGTTCGACTATGACAATGGATCTCGCATTTACTATTCATGAGTTTTGTGGAGATAAAGGCCAAAGTAACTGGACTATTGCTACAAATTCATGTCACTTTACTATTGAGGATTGAGTTATCTTGGTCACCAGCCATTTACTAGGTTTCAGAACAAAAATTCCAAAGGGTTGCAACAATTTCTGAATAGAAATGGCATTTGAACTATGGAGACTATCCTTATTTTGGTTTGTATCAATATCATCAGCAATTTTCTGCTTTTCCTTTTCCACATTTCCAGTTAACCGCAACTAATCACAGTATAGAAGAACATAAAACATGCTTTGAGGGCCCCGGCATGCTGTATTAAACCATGCTAGAGCCACCGCATCAACGTTGGCCGATTACGCTTCCCCGGGGTGCACGTAAAGATGAGGAAGATCGAAGGAGCAAGGTACAAGCGTTTACTGGACAGCCGAACGCAGTTGTGTCGTGTTGACTGATACATTCGAGTGGACTAGTAGAATACGGAAGTCTAAACAGATACATAGGTGGAGCGGGTGGTGGTAGTACATATATAGGAGTGAATGTCCAGTCGGTCCCAGTAACTGAATGACTGACTGAATAGGGGTTCGTGTGTAAGACTGGAAAAACTGGTTTATAGGACGCGAATCAACACCACTCACTACGCAGGCCTGAGCACGTATTTTAAAAAAAATTAGCTAAATTAATGTACTCTTACCACGTTTGCTGAAATCTAATTTGCATTTTCTACATGGGAGTAATTTGTATTTTTTTAAAAGAAAAAGCGTTAATCAAATTAAATGGACAAAGAAATACAAGCCAACTAAAAAGAATTATTTACAAGTTCTGAAGCTCCAACTACTCCACTCAATATTTTCTTTACATTCAGTGCGTCAATTGTTCAAATAGTTATAATTCGTCTTATTCTGGAAGACTAGTTTTATTTAAATAAATGTAGAATAAATTAATGCGCACAGTTAGGAAAAACTGGTATTCAGCATCATGCTATCATGCGTATTTAAGGTTCAAACATTTTTTCACATTTTCAAAATGCGTCACTTTTATCGTTGAATGATAAACTTCACTCATCATTCTATTAACTTCAACTCTAAAATTCATGCCTGTTGGCTTCATTCTAATTAAAAGTTATGGCATCGACAGCAATTAAGTCTAGATTTTTAAACCAAAAATATTTTTTTAATAATTGGAATTTGTACGTTCGTAGATTTCACATTACATGGTAATAGAAATAAAATCATAGCTTAAAGCAATGCCCATATGTCCAAAAAAGTAAAATTGCCAGGTTCCATCAAAAGGCTTTTGTGAAATTAAAAGGCCTTTTGTCCCAATTTCGGCTCCAGTTAAAATCACAAAAACGATTTTACGCCGATGTTTAGAGCAAAAATCACCTCCATCGCATTTTGACAGAAATTAGGTGATGCAGAATTTGATGATACCTACATCGTGACATTGCTTGTTTGATTTGATGATAGCCTGTCTAAAGCCTCACAGTTACCTGAGGCTTCTACAACGCACTTGTTTGCCACAGGCCCTTATTCCATTGGAACATCTCAAATCGTGTTGTGAGTTTGATCACAAAAATATGTGTCATGTTCTGCTTTGTGGTTTGCAAAGCGCTGGCGACACAGGCTCCCTTTCGCCAAATATATAAACACCAGCTACAACTCTGCATTTCTCAAATCGGCAGATATCCTGACACCCTCCAGGTGAGTTGTATTCATTGTCGGAAATTGCACCTTCAAGACGGTAATACACTGCCTCATGAATTTCAGACATGATGCTAATTACCACCTGTCTGCTGATTGTCCTGGGCTGTGTGGTTGCGAGTGTTCCCTCGGAGTCCGAACAATCGGAAATAGTGCAAATTCTGGCACAAGTGCGTGGAGGAGTTGAACCACCAGCCAGCGACATGAACGTTGTGGTGCGTAGATGAACACTCCAAATTCTCACTGCCTTCCTTTTTCTGTAATTAAACGTCATTGTGTTGAATTCAGATGTGCATCCCCTAGCATTCTCAATCCTGATCCAAATGCAAATTTATTTGCGTTCCAAAGTGTGCGCAGTCATTTTGGTTAGCCTTGTCCAAGCAAGGTGTACTCAGCCTGGCGTAAGTCGAATATGTAGATGCATTCGTTCAGGGTTTGTAAGACTGGTCGAAATGTGCAAACTGTTAGTAAATGACATGCTTTTGTCCATTACTAAGTAGCATTCCTTCTCTGCCATTTTAGAAATACTCTTCACAAATGCAAAATCTTGCCGTTGACTGGGTGTCCCGTTGTTTGCACCAATACCCAAAAGGCGCAAAGGATTCTCGATTTCAGGGCACTGGAATGATTCTCAAGCCCTTTTATGACACAAAGCCGCAATTCAAGGATTTGTTTTCCTTCGCTAATGAGTCAAGTAATTATAACTATGACACGAATAGATGCAGTCGCGTATGTAGAAATTACAAATTGGTAAGTCGACTCTATCTCCGAACACTTGAATGTTGTCAACACAAGCGCATTACTTCCATCAAATTTGCGATTTTTGTGGCGTTTCGTTGTTGCAAAAATAAGAATTATAGGGTGAATAATGTCGCCTGAAATTACAAAGTGGTGCGTTAACGTTTTCTCCACACACTTGAGTGTTGTTAACGCAAGAAAACTACTTCTATCATTCTTGCATTTGTTGTGGTTTTCATAGTTTGATTTTTAAATGCAAGGTGAATTGTATTTTCCTAAAATGCATAGGAGTTGACTACGTGCTGAGCCGCTTGTGTCGTTTTTCCGCAACTCAATGCTGTTTCGCATAGCATCTAGCGATGCAAAATAAAGTATGATTCAATGCCAATTCAATTAACATGTTAAGCACTCTCCGAACTTTTCAGTAGCTGGAATGAATATAAATAATAACGCAAAAAATCGTAGAATGTTTTTAGGGAACATAGAAATAAGCTGCTGTGGCTTAGAATGCTGCATGTCCGAGCATCAATTTAATCCTTATTTAGCAAAATGCGTCTTGAAGAAGAAAATTTCGGTTACATTCAGCAGACGTTAAAGGGTTTAAAATTGAACCGGCGTGTGCGTCGCGTGAAAATAATTTAAACCAATTCTATTTATTTTGCAAGATGGTGAGGGCATCAGTGACAGAAGTGGGATGTTCGATGAAGAAGTGCCCTTACAAACGCTCCAAACAAAGCGACAGATATTACCTGATATGTGTGTTCAACAATGCGTAAGTGGAACGCACCACCGCTTTGCTTAAAGTCAAACTCAACACCAACTAACTGACAATGTCTTTCATATTAAGAGATAACAACATGAGAGGAAGACCGTACCAAAGGCGATACGAACGCAGTGAATATTCGGGCAAATTAACGTATTCGTACGATGCCCACGCCATATCGACAGAAATACCAAAACGTTTCACAACGAAAAGCGATCCCACGTTTTTGGATAACAAAGTACCTGTTGAGAACTCAAGTGGCTTTATGGAAATTACAGATACACTTCAAGCAGCCGAATGCGAGGCATTTGATGACGATACACTGAATGAAAACTCAACTGACTTTAACCCCAACGCTGCATACTCACCCACGAAGTTGCCATCAGATTCCCTAAGCACGCCTTCCCATGAGGAATCTCACCACAAACAGTCTTATCCCTCAGCTTCTCCTACCACTTCGTCTTCAAATATCACTCGTGCTCATTTTGTTGCCGTAAATTTATTGTCTAGGCGTTCTACTTCTCTCGGGTCTCTCACTTTGGGCTTCGGTGTTCTTCAATTTCTCAGTATATTTTACAAACTCTTCATCTGATATTTTCTCATCTTCTCCCAGTCACACTTAATTGTGAATCTTGGCTCAATTTAATTTTATTTATAAATACTTGAACTACCATCACATAACATTTTTTTAAAGTCAGACAACCTCACTGCAGCCAAATTTAATTTTGTCATATTTAGGTATTGAATTTTTGAAATATATTCAGAATGTCATTTCCATTACCAAAGGGACAATTTGCTATTTTACCCAGTTGATCTGCTTTGATAAGCATATCTGGGCTGTGTAGACATTTACACTGGATAAATGTATGTAATATTAACTTCATTTAATAAAACGATTTCATTGTAGTGCCGAAATTGTAGACACGAATAGCAAAATGCGCGTTCTAAATTGTGGTTCATTCTTGTCAACTAGGTTTTACTTACTACCAGGTCCATTTTACAGTCTTCCATTAATGTGCAAGCGAGACACTGATTCAGTGGAATCAGTGGCAGCTGCATTTTTACAACAACATATTTTGTTCCCCAAACTAGTACATATTCAGCAGCTTTAGTGCATTTTTGAAACTTCGAGTGTGTTTACTCAGGCATATAATTTAGACAATTCACATGCTTGTTAATTAGCTATGGTGCATTAAAACGAATGTCCACCCAAACGTGTCACATGTATTCTTTCCTACAGCATGGCGTTATACAAAATAGCATGCATGTTGCAGTTGAAAATGTAATTCCATGTGGAAAGTTTGTCGACAATGGACTAGATGAATTATAACATGCAGACACTATAGGCAAAGTCACTAAGCGAGAGTAGTTCAAGTAAAAATTAAGACTTCCTACCGATATTAACAGTTTCTTTGGTATTCAAGCATTTGATTATATCAAAGTGCTGCTTGGAGTAGGCGAATGCAGTTTATTATTCAAAGAGCATTTCCCCACACAAGGAAACTGCATGATACTGTGATTTTAACTGATTCACTGGTCCTAATAAAATGCCCACCCATTGTAAACCGCAATACAATTGCATCATCGAAGTTTAGTGAAGATAAATACGCCTTGAAATAACAGAGGACACAAACGCATGGATCTTCATGCCACGTCCATTTCCACAAGAATCATCCCACATGAAACCTAAGGTGTGACATTTTATGAAACTGTGTTCATGTTTGGCAGATGACTCCTGTGCTATGCTTAGACTGAGAAACAAATGCAGTCTGCAAGACGCTTTGCTAGCTTACCTGCACCCATTGACATGTAACCAGTACACGTACACATCAAATGTGAGCGAGCAGTGAGCAATGCAGCAGCACGTGCGATCAGTAGGAGCCTTCGAGAAAGTGGTTGATTTGGACCACAAGTCGCAAATTATGATGTGGTTGTGAAGTACAACGTACTCCATATCAACTATTGAATCCCAAAGAGGAATAACAATTTTGTCATTGAAAATGAAATGTAAATCTAAAACGGTAGTCAGTGGAAGGGGTGTTAAGCATGGAAATGTACCGCTGCATGCCTTTGTGAAGTGTTTTGAAGATCCCTGAGGGGCTGTCGTGTTGTTGTCAATGTGTTGCCACCGATTTTTGTTGTCGCAAACATTGACATGAATGTGTTTTTTTTTAATTCTAACAAACGCAGTTTGGTATTTTAGATGTTTCACGCTAAATTTGCAATTTACAAAATGCTGCTTCAAACCAAGAATAGGAAAGCGTTTGTTTCGCAGTGTCGTCATTACCCGAGTGAAGGATTTTCGTCCATGCGACATTTTGTGCCATTATGTCAAACACCTGCACCATCTTGACAGATTATTTTGTTTCGTTTATTTCGTGAGAGCTAGTCTGGGACTGCCACATCTGATGTCGAAGGAATACACCTGGTTGTCCAGCTAATTCGACTGCACGCGTACAAACAAGGCGACGCAGTGGCTGTGTCACCCATTTTCGCAAGCCTCAATGAGTAGTGTGGTTGTGGAGGTCAACGGGTGCTAATGAAACAAGTACGAGGCACTTTGCATGAAAGCTCTTGCATGTTGAAAGAAAGAAATATGGAAGGCTGAATGCCAAGTGTGCAATGTTGAGAGTAGCTGGGATATTAAGGCTACAAATAACATACTCGCATGCATGAGAATTAAGTGCCCTGGTTTATTTGCAGCAACGCGCGCGTGCCAATCGGCAAAGTCCTACGTAGAGTCACTAAAGAATTTGCAGTTGTTACTTGTTTTAAGTCTACACACATATATCATATGTAAGCAGCCTGCCATTCTTGAGATATCTCCTCTCGTGAAGGTTCTGCATGCTCTGTCGGATTACCGGCTTGATGCTTAAAATGTTGGACTTGGCGAAACACTTCCACGTGAGGCCACAATGCTGCCAACTGACAGCATTTTGTCTAGTCTGTGCACAAAAACTAAGGGAGCACTGCATCCAACAGAAAATGCCTTTACCATGGCGTCCGTCTGTAGCTACCGCAACTGCAGAATACCAGTCAGTTTTGTGTGCCACTTTGTTAATGCAAAGATAATATTGCAGTAGGACGATGAAGAGTTAACAAGGGTGCAACTGACCAAACCTGAACTCATGAGTGTCTACCTGTGACGTGAAGGATGGATGCCGACTTCTACGTTGCCCGGTTCATTATCTCACGCATGTTTTTTTTCAGGCCCTCACAAAGTGGCGATCCATGGAAATTTTCTCCTTTAACACGTAACACGCGTTAATCTCAAAACAGACCTATTCTGAAACATTGACAGCTGAAAGGGCACTTCCCAACTATCACGATGTATTTCGCATAATGAGACTTGGCATGAATGTGAAAAACAAGTGGAGGACTCGCAAAATCTGGAACGACAAACGATGCAATGCACTCGCCTTCTATTGGTGACAAGTAACCTCGATGCATATGTGAACGCAAACATTACTTTCCAATTTGTAGATTCACACATACGACTCTAGGGGATAAGCCAACATTTTTCGTGCAGTTCACATCATCTTAGTACACTTGAAGCCTATAATGAGTCGGCATGCATCGCATTTCATGCACCTCTGTTTGCTTGGGCAACATCTGCTCCGTGGCATGCAAGGAGTTGTCAGTAAAGGTAACCGACTTCACTCACAGAATGTGTCAAAACGTGTGAGCAACATGTGAGCACATGCCTATGAATTGTTACAATATCTGAATAGAATTGGCATTTCAAACACGGATAATATCCTCGTGTTGGCATGCACCAATATCATCGGCGACTTTCTGCATTTTTTTCCACATTTACAGCTAACCACAACCGATTACGCTACCCAGAGTACCCGCTAAGAATAAGAAGACCGGAAGAGAAGAAGCACAACCGTATAATAGACATCTCACCACATTTCTGCTGTGTTGACTGATACGGTTGAGTGGACGAGTAAAAATGCGGTAGTCTGATTGGTCGCATGAACAAAGCGGGTGGTGGCAGTTCGTCTGGAAGGGTTTGTGAGCAGGCGATCCCGCGTGACTGCTGGACATGCCGCGAAAAGGGGGACGTGTATGTGGGGCTGCGAAAACCGGCTTGTCGAACGTCAATCAACACAATTCACTGCACATGTCTTATTTGCAATTGCGACTGAATACGTGTTCTGAAAAAAATAGCGAAATTAGTGTACATTTAGTCAGGTTTGCTGAATTCAAATATGCATTTACTTCATGAGAGTAACTTGTATTTTTTTAACATAAAAAAATACCCGTACCTGAGGCTTCCACAAGACACTTGCTTCTCACAAATCCGCATTCCATTGGAACATCTCAAATCGTGTTGTGAGTTTGATCACAAAAATATGTGTTATGTTCTGCTTTGTGGTTTGCAAAGCGCTGGCGACACAGGCTCCCTTTCGCCAAATATATAAACACCAGCTACAACTCTGCATTTCTCAAATCGGCAGATATCCTGACACCCTCCAGGTGAGTTGTATTCATTGTCGGAAATTGCACCTTCAAGACGGTAATACACTGCCTCATGAATTTCAGACATGATGCTAATTACCACCTGTCTGCTGATTGTCCTGGGCTGTGTGGTTGCGAGTGTTCCCTCGGAGTCCGAACAATCGGAAATAGTGCAAATTCTGGCACAAGTGCGTGGAGGAGTTGAACCACCAGCCATCAACATGAACGCTGTGGTGCGTAGATGCTCTGTTATTTCTATAACTGAGAATCAGATGTGCATGCGCTAGAATTCTCAAATATGATTCACAAGCAAGTTAATATATGTTATAAAGTTTGTGCAGTCATTTTATTCAGAACGTTGTCCAAATAAACAAAGAAGGTGTGCACAGCCTGACGTAAGTCGGCAGTGTCAATGTATTCGTTCAGAGTTTGTGATACTGATCAAAATGTGCAAACTGTTGGTAAATGACATGCGTTTGTCCATTACTAAGTAGCATTCCTTCTCTGCCATTTTAGAAATACTCTTCACAAATGCAAAATCTTGCCGTTGACTGG